TGTTGGGTGCTTATTCTTGGAAAGCCAAGGCCTCTTCCACAACACTAAGCACAGTACTCTTTTTCCTCCCAATTTGTGTGTTTACAGCTGCAAAAACTCAGACAACAGTTTCTGCTGCCGCTGTTCTGGCAGGTCTCCATTCATATCAGAGAGCCCGCTTCTATATTCCCCTTCCCCTCAAACATTCACCACAATTATTTACCACTTTTCCGTTTTCATTTCTATGATTGTTTTTTTACCACATGCTGGAAGATCCCCCTGCCCCAGTTGGTGGCTCCCTTATTTTCCCCTCATTTCCACTCCTTCCTGCTCTATCTGCTGGTTACTCTTTCCTCAGACCTTTTTCCAGTCTTCTTTCTCCCAAATGGTTCGCTGCATTCCCACAGCAAGCTGCATCGCAACAGAGAACGGTTGACTTTACACAAATACTGTTGATTTCATATTACTGCTTTATATTTGAATCAGCAGGGAAAATAAAAAGCAGAGGTCAAAGTCAAGATTACAGGAATCTCTGCACTCAAGGATATGACCTATCTGCCCAATCATACCTCTGGTGAACTGATAATCAGATCTACTTGGTGCATAAATATGCCCCATTTCTTTTGTTTAAATAGATAAAAACAGTTTTCATAGGTAAACTCTCCAGAACTTCACATTGGGTTTTATATACTACTTTTAAAAATGAACAGATTATTCAGCATCATAAATTACATGGCAAACACATGCTAAAATCTTAGAGAAACTCAGAAGAGGGAAATTGCACATCATGTTTACACATACAGTAGACACACTGAAAGGCATTGTTCCAATTCCCTTTTTCAGTTATTCAAATTAAAAAGAAGAAACAAAAGCTTAAGTTTCTGAAGAAAAGTGGCATAAAACAAGAGAAAGATGGACTACTAACAACAGTGCAACCTCATAGGAAACAACTCACGTCTCATCCCAATGAGCAACAGTACCTCTGTGCTTGACCAACATCTTATACTTTTCGGTATTCACAAATTCTCCAGTAACCACTGGATAAAACAAAAAGTGTATCTGCTTGAGACAAACCTGGGTTAGACCCTGAACATTAATCATCCCCGAACTATACTGGAAGACCCACGGATAAAAATGTTACCTAATTAGACCTTTCCTCATTCAGAAGTCTCAATTGAGATTTTGCATTCAGATCAGTTCTCAATGGACAAGTCTGTTCCTATCAGACTGATTTATACTGTAAAGGACCTCAAGAGATCTTTTAATCCAATCCACCACTCAGAGAAGTGCTATCCTAGACTTTCATCTGCTCCCATTAATAACAATGTAGATATTACACAGGAAATAAGATGCAAATTACATTCTCATGACCACAATGAATGTATCTTGAGTTAGTCACACTGTTAGCATTTACCAACAAAGAGACTGTAGAATTTCTTTTTTCAGTGTGTGCAAGTTGTACCAGCCCAAACTGTAATGTTAAGGCAATAGGATTTTTCAGAGCATAGCATTGCTGCAAATATCACAATCTAATTTATTCAGCATTTATAATCAAGATATTGCTATGACAGGCACTGTATGATGCGGTCTCGGTTGATTAAAATATTATGTACACAATTTTTGAGTAAGTCTGCTTTCTTTGCAAGTATTAAGTTTCTGAAAGTTTATTTAATTTCCTTCATGATGTTGCCAGGCAGATTTAATCAGGAGGGACAGCTGAACCATGGATTCAAGGTCAGCTACTATTCGGTCCTAGAAAACAAGTCAATAAAGACTGTAGGTTGAGGACTTGCTCCCTGTAAGTGGAATGGAGCTAATGGGGAACGGGGTAACTCTGGGATACCCTAAAGCCACAGCAGTAGAAACTGAATGTCTGCTCATACAGCCAGTAGAAAAGGAGCAGCAGAGTAAGTCCTTGCACTTCACACTGTCCAACCCAGCCTGGATGAATCACCTCCTGAGGGGTCACTGCGCTGCTTCAGTCCCTGGATTCTCTGTCAGGACTGCCATGAATGACATTATATGGTGGCATTTGTTCCAAAAGGACATTTGTCTTCTAGGAACTGGAGGAAGACCACTGATTTCATGCAGGTCAGCAAGCAATCATCAAAATATTAGTGCCTAAAAGTCCTTACCAACTTTTGCCTGCTTTGAACTGGTGACACAGAAGTGATGGGAAAGACTCCATCTTCCGTTAGCAGTCCCTAAGCTACCCACTGGACAGTCCTTGACCTGTTTCCCAGTCACCCCATCCCACTCCCACGCTACGCGAGTGAACAAGCATTTTTGTTTACAGAAGCGTTGCAATTCTTGGGAAGTCAAATCTAAATTCTCACAGTGTATATTATCAGCACAATTCACATTGACTTCAGCCAGTATTGCTTAGCTAAAATGCTTTGTAACTCAGAAGAAACTTGTTACTTACAGAATAAAAACACACTGTCTCTAAAACAGAAAGCAAACATAAAGGCTAGAAATTTCCAAGGAAACTGGGGGGAACGATGACACATGGATGACGACATTGACACTGGACTGTTCAGAAATAGGAATATGGAGCATGCTATTCAGGAAGACTCTGCTGATCTCTAAATAGCTACGTACAGGCTCACTATTCAACTATAAACCCAAGTAACTTTAAAACTAGGTAAAAAACTATTCTGTATTTTTTACTATTATGGAGAAGACTTCATGTGAGACACTTTCACACAAGATCAAGGTGGTTTAATATTGTTTTACATAGCACTCAACGTTTTAAAGCAAAAATACACACAATCAGTTTAGAAAAAAAATGCATTAAATTGCTTTTACTTTTCTGATGTTTGGTGATTTTTGTCCATTTAAATAACAATATATTATTACTACTTCATCACCTGTTAAGCTTACCTGAACTTATTACAGACAATTCATCTGAACAAGGAGTTTTGCAGGTGTCAAAGCAGTTCAAAACATTATAGATAGGACAGTTTCTACAAACTTCCCTATCAAGAATCATTCATACAAGGCAAGAGAAGAGATACTTCTATATCCATGAATGTTCTATTTCAAATAAACCCTGGGAGGAAACTACCAGCTGCGTAAAACTACACGAAAATCCTGTTGGTTTTCAAATGGAAACCACTGGCCACTGCAACTAAAAATGTGTTCTGGAAATTCCTCTCCTTTTGAAACCTGTGGTAAATTAAAATTTGTCCTTTGTAATACTTTAGGAAAAAAATGCATTCCCCCCTTAGTACATTTATTACTTCTTTCAATGTTTTTAACAAATTAAGAGCTTTATCACAGGTATAAATACTATGGAGATACCAGGTATAAACACTTAAATGCATACAAGCCTACTAACAAAAGGCTATAAAAAAAAAAATCCAGAATGCAAATTAGTAGTTTTCAGATGGAAGGTGTCATATCCTTTGTAGGTATTTATTTATCTGTGGAACTGTTAACAGGTACATACACATCTGTGTAAAACACCTAAGAACAAATGATCAGGTTCCATCCCATACTGTAGCACACAATAAAAGACAATGTTATACACACAATTCCAATAGTCTCATTAAATACAATCCTCCGAGCATCATTTGCTATTAATATAACCAAGTCTGAATCCAGAGCCTATGTCCATTAAAAAAAAAAACAACAAAGAAGAAAACAACAAATCCCACTTCACATCAGCCTAGCTATAGCGGTATAAATTTCTCTCTTATATAAATTTACTCGGCTGTTATACAGCAGGGGTTTACATCACCACACTGTACAGCAATAGTCTAATGGCCCAAGTTGCAACAGTACAAACCCACTTCAGAGTTAGCAGGTCATTTACAATGGCTAATCCTACCACCTATCTAGCTACACTGTAGTAGAGGGATGCTCATTTTCCCCTACACAGATAAAGCTTTCTAGTCTGACACAGCGTCTGCAGCATTCAGCAGACAGCATTAAAGCCAAGCCAAGTTTTACAGAAACAGTCATACGAATGTCTACTATATGAGGTCTCCCCTGCTCCTCCTCCCAGCCATTCAGGGGAGGAATTAAGTAAACGTTCCAAACCTTTCTCCCATCTGAAACCATGGAACAATCTGTCCAGCAACCGAAACAAGAAACAAAGACAGTAAATCCTCCAACAGTTGCCTTCCCACCTATCCTGGTTCTTCAAGGATACTAACTCCTAATAAAAATAAAATAAAAAAAAAAAAAAAAAAAAAAAAAAAAAAAAAAAACAACCACACAAAACCTCCCCCAAACACCCACACAGTTAAGGGGTAAAATGAAGATTTTTGCCACAATACAGTTCCCTTCTCTAATCACCACCATGACAAGAAAGGATCAAAAAAATCCAATTTTTCCCTCTCATATCCTGAGTTGTCCTTCCTATTTTTCATAAAATACAGAGGAAGATCTAAAGACTTCTCCCACACAAACCACAGCTTCCCTCTCTAAATCTTAAAAGGAGTTAAAGTGGTCATGGCCAATTCACCCCTGCTGCTTGGGAAGTCTGGAAGAATTGCTGCTTCTCCTAGGCAGTTAGTCAGCAAGAGCTGAAACACATTCTGATCATCAGCCTACATTTGTATTTGCCCAAACCTAAACAATTACCTTGGAAGTAAGAAAAATACATATGTAGAATCAAATACTGCATTGTGATATTATTTGACCACAATCAATGTATTAAACTGCTATAAAATGGCAACTACTTTAAATTTCTTATGGTGCAGTGGCTTTTTTTTCCCCCCTTTACAACATAATAAATGAATTATATGCTACCATTCTGTGAAAACATTTTATGAGTTTAAGGAAATTATTTAAATATTTATCTCATAATATTCAAGAAAAACAATGGAGGAAAAAAATGAAGTCTCTTTAGATTTGATGTATCTTCTCGGCTTAATTAACACAAGCTTTTTCTGTTTTAATTTGCACTTAAGAAGCAGGAACTTTACTCAATTTGCTAATTACTACATCTTCAAGCTGTTTTCTTGAAATAGATGGCAGCCTATCACACTAGGAACCAGAATTTCTGTAGTTACCTCGAATTACGTAATTGTCCAAAGCCTCTTCCATTCTTTTCAGTGCTTCAGCTCTATTAGAGCCATAGGTAATCAGCTAAAAAACAACAAAAAAGGTATTTAAGTTACCTAGAAATTATATAATGTTTGTCCCTAGAACCTGAATAGCATTTAAAATGAAAATGGTCTACAGGACTTCTGCAATTACAAAAACATCTCACATATTGCTGTATTAGTACTTCAGAGGCTCCCTAAAACTCCAAGAGAAAATTAAGATCTCTCAAGCCATTCAATTAAAGAAGGCCAATCACTTTTTCTCCATAAAATGTATGACATCTAAACTAACTCTCTCTTCTTTAAGCGCACAGAAAATTAGAGCAGAGGTTCAATATTTAGTTGACTCTCCTGACTTCTAGTGCCCAACCAACTTCTAAGATTTAAGTGTAAATTTTTCTGACAACTGAACTCTGACTATAATGTCGTATTTTAATTTAGTCGATACGTTATTGATGAATAAGAACGAATACTAAGAGACACTATCAACCATTTCTTTCACCACTTCTTTTTGGAAGCCAGAATAATGAACATTTTAGTTCTGGCTAGGTTACATTTAAAATGAGGGATTGGCAGCACGTAAGCCTGAAAGTAATGGTTTCTGTTTAAATCAGAATCCTTTTAGTAATCAGAAGGGGCAAGACAAATAATTACAGTGTCAAAACATCAAAAAAATTTTGTTTAGAAGTAACACTGAATTTCCCCTACTCCATATCTTCCTTTGCTTTTTTCATATTCCCTTGAGGTATGTTATGACTAGCACCTTTAAAACACTGATTTACCAATCCTTTAATATAGCCTCTGTCATTTAAAAGATCCATGTATAAAATCAGTATTTCATACCTTTATAATACTGAAAAATAATCATCAACTCACTTTTGAGATCATAGGATCATAATAAATGCTAATATCACTTCCTTGTTGTATGCCACTGTCAACACGTACCTTCAAAAAAGTAAGAAGTAAAAATAATTATATATTGGAAAAAATATATATATATATTTCAACATGAGGATCAAATCTACTTGGCAGGCTTAAAACATGACACCCGTGAAGCTTATCACATTCATTTTTTTTCCCCTTGAAGAACTAGAATAGTTATTTGTTTTCAGAGAACCTGGGTGGGGGGGAAGAGGAGCTTTTTCCTCCACCAGGAAAAATACTTGCAAGTTATTCTCTCCTTTAAAAGAAACACAACTGCAATCTTCAGTTGATAGTGAAAATTCTCTTTTGTTCTCCTAGAATGCACAGTAAACACATTAAATTTGATCTAGCAATTGAGGTTGTGTTACACACTCTAAACTTCAGCTCTGAACATATCCAATTCCTATTTAATCCCTGTAATAAAATACAGTTGTAATTATTTTTCTGACTGACACTTGGCATGAAGGATGCCCCTTATAATCACATCCTTTCTACATCGATATGTAATCACGTCCCCCATGTTCCGCTATAGCCCTTCCAAGGGCTCCAGTAGGAATACAAGTAGGGAGCATTCAGCAGGAACTTTGGAGCTCTGCTTATCAGCTCCATAGGAATACTGATCCTGTGGTTTTCATGTCTGTAACACTTTCCTTCTCTGCCTCACCCTCTCAACTGTAAAACAATTTTTTCTGTTGCTGCTGCTCCTCTGAGGCTTTAATGTTTACACAGCTTTTTCCATGGCTTTGCTTTGTAAGGACACAGCCCCAATTAAAGCTCTGAATCTGCAATATTCATGGAAAAAAATAACACAAGTTCAAAAATTTCTTTTGAAGAGGCTGATTGCTGTTAACCAGCCAACAAGTAAGTTAGTATATTGCTGATTCTTGTTTTCATCTCTCAGTTTGATTTCATCACTGTAGCAATGAGGTTAGCCATATAAAACTTTTCAAATGAGCAATTTCTGGGGAATAAATATTTATTAAATTGCTGCTTTTGAGCACTGGCATCTGAAATATTTTTTAAAAACTAATCAAAATAACTTGAGAGTAATAAACGCATTCTGGGGATCACAAGGATGGAGGGCTCTAATCAAAGCTGTTGAAGCAGCAGGGCTCCGGTACACTGCATTGTAAAGGGGGTGGGAAAGAGGGTCCTGGAATCTCACTTAAATCTTCACCTGTGGGAAGGAACCTTTGTAATAAACAGCAGCTCATCTGTCTGCAGCAAGGCAGAAAAAGGTCAACGCAACGGCTGTTAGGCCTTTAATATTTTAATTTAGGCAATTATCAAGGGACCACATGTAGAACCTCTTGTCTACAGAATCCACATGAGGGCATGATGATGACTTTATTATCCAAATGACATAAAAAGATACCCTAGCAGGTGTACTCACTTTCTTTAGCAAGAAACACAGACTAGTTTTTATGATGTTATATCCTTTTTATTTTTTAAAAAGGTACTTATTAACATATTTGTATTTATCTATTTATACTTACATATTTATGTATTATTTCTTACCTATTTATGTTTATTTGTATAGCATATTTATTCATATGTAAAGGCAGTAGCATTTCTGTAGTATTTTTATCACATCTTACCTAAATGCGCTTTATCTATGCTTAACTAGGCCCCCCACTACCCGCATCAGGTACTTTTAACATTAGCTACTGATGAGAAGGTAGTTCAGACATGTCATGATTACAGAAAAAACATGCGGCATATTTCCCAGCTCCAATTCTGTAACTGCTAAACCATCCTTCCTCCCAAGATGTCTGCCCACGTAGAAAGTCAATGCATACGTTCGATCAGAAATAATTAATTTACCTAGTCTTGCCCATGATATTTTTTGTAATAATAAGTAATATAAGACATGAAGGTATGACACATACTCCACGCATACTTGAATTATACTGTGACTTTGTCTCTAAAGTAGCACCTATAAAGTGATTTACATACAAGTGTTCAGGAGTGTTTTACATATGCCTCCACATGCATGTAAGCATTGATACATGTATATCATATTTTGATAAAGAAAATCACATATGAAAGGCACATATTTTAGACCCACAGTAAGCAGGTTAGTCAGACCTTAAAGTTAATGTAAGGCTTCTGAGGCGACCAACTATATGTTCTGACTGCTTTATGTTTCTGTTCATATACAGCATACATACTACTATATAATTTACACTTTTTTTCCCAAGTATGCTATCTTAAAAAATGAAAAAGTTACAGTGAGAATTTGAAATTCCTTAAAAACTACTGTGTAATTTCCTTTTTTAAAACAAACATCTGGAGTCCTCTGTAGAAGTTTAATTTTCAGAAAATAAACTGAAAATGAAGGAAAAAAATGACAGCAGAATAGAAAAACATTTACCATCTTCAATTCTCCCTGTGGTGCTTACATTTTCAGAGCCTGGTAACAGTAGGTGATTTTATAAACTATATGGTGTGACAGAACTTAATGAATATTGGATGAAAAAGAAACCCTAATTCAACAGATACTCGCTATAATGTGCTTAATTTGATAAATAGTAGCAATACTTATTAGACCTCCAGCATTTACTTCTGCTTAACAGATTTCCTTTCTTTCACTCTGTATTTAAAATACCAAAGAAAGGCTAGGGTTCAAGAGCCTACCGTACTCAATGCTTTTACTGATGTTTTATTACCATTATGTGTTAATACACTAGGACAACAGTAAACTGAAAGATAAAAAAAGCTTAAGAGCAAAAAAAAAGCAGCACAATCTATGTCCCAGTCCTGCAACGAACTATTAGTGCACCAAATTCGACTTACCAACTCATACAGGTTCTAATATTTCTCCATTCTTTGCCATATCAGAGTCTAAGAGTTTTATCTTTCTGGTTAGAGTCATTAAGAGACCAGACTGCTGATCATACTGGCAAAGAGCAATGCTGGAGCTCTTCAGATATGGCCATGCATTTGCTATGTTGTGTAAGAGCACTGAACATGAATGCTCACTATCATAATATGGGGTTTTGTGGCTACCTACCTTAAGCTTCATGAACAACAATGAAAAAAATTTGGTATTTATGAGTACCATGTTCTAAGGAAATTACAGACTACATGACACAAAAATAGCCAGTACATTCCTATCTGGGGCTAAGAAAAAAACTCTCACAGCCATGCACACCAGTTCCATCAGCTTGAGCAGCTGACACACAGGTAGACAATCAGAGCTAACTTAAGACACAGAAGAAATTAATTGAAAATGCACTTGGCAGTACGCTACTCATAAGCCAAACTGTCTTTGACACACTACAAGTCTTTGCTAATTTTTGTTAAGCCAACTTGTTGACAATTTTGAAATCTAAAATGCAGAAAACAAACACTGTGGCACAATGGGCCTGTAACACTGAACTTCTTTAGTCATATTAATTTTGTTCTTAGCAACATGACATTGTCAGGAGAGAAATTATTTCACACTGGCAGAAAATATGTATTAAGACACCAAACCATGAGTGTCTATATAAAAACAGTTGTTCTATTTTTAATACAACAATAGAAGTAAACAAAAAGAGAACAGCCTAGACACTCCATATGAGCTCCTCAAACCATTGCTCTGAAGCCTCTAGCGTAATTAAAATTTCTTTCTCTGGTACGACGATGGACCACGTGAAGCAATCAGGCATCTCCCACCCTTCATTTTCAATTCACCTCTCCCCCTAAGCACAACTCCCAGCCCACCCCGTCTACCTGACAAGTGACAGCCCAATCTGATTAAATGCTTGCAAGGGAGGGGACTCATGGGCCTCCATGACAGGCCAAAAGTGATCACCATGGAGATACATAATTACAGCTGTCAACGCGTCTACTGTCCTGCTGGCATCAATTTGATTGCTCCCAGCAATAATGATAGACAAAGCTTAGTGTGCACTCTGCTGCACCCAATCACTTTATCTATTCCGTGGTCCATTTAGCTGACATGCAACATTCACACAAGCAAATAACAGCAGTAAGCAGAACATTTAAGGCATTTTAATTGTTTTTTTCTTTGTATGGATGGCTCACAAGCGCAAATGTTATTACATAAAACTCCTGCTGCAGCATTAATTGAAGAAAGATTTGGTGGGACAAAGACTGTAGGGGGTACAGTTTGTCCATTATCACTTGTACTTTCAACAGGTCTCACGTTTGGAAAATTGCAAATTGCAAAAACTTGCAAGGGCAAAATGTTTGACATCCTGTTAGCTATTACAACATGGTGAAAACTTCTAACAATCACTGGAGTATTCATTATAAATTCTTATTAAATACACTCTTTGTTTCATTTAAAAAAAGTTTAGATACATCCAATGATACCTTTTTCCCTCATCTCCTTTTTAAGATCACATAATGCCTTTTAGATCTTCACAGTTTTTTTCTGCTTTCAGGCTTTGAACACAGCATGAAGCCTTAAAGACCAGAAAGGGTCAGGTCCCTTCAGAAAGTATACGGGCAAAAACAATTTAAGAAGCAAAATAAATCATATATCCAATAACATCTCCACATTTAAGATTCCTCCTGTAATCTTTCACTATTTTCCGTGCAAGCAATCAGACTGAATAATCATATTCACAGATGGTACAGCCTCATCATCCCACTAACTGACATAGTGTCATGCGTGTGTGCACTTATGATTTAGACTACCCTGATTTCACAGAAAGGTGGTGTCCTTGTTCTTTACATATAGCAGAAAACACTGTTTGTTAAACAGCCTTCCCATATAGTTAGCCTGTATCCTGAAATGTGTAATAATCAATGTAACAAATTTCCTCTTTAAAGTCTACAAAACTAAACAGAAAGCACTGGCGGTTTCTCACTGGTGCCCCCCGCTCTCCGTGTTTAAAGAACTGACTCAACATTTCACTGTCCTTTCTAATGACCACAGTATTTTTCCTAAAGCCACGTTTGAAAAACTTAAGCTGAAAGTTATAACATATAAGAAAATATTTCAACATATAGTGGTTTCCTGTTACACCAAATTTGAATTTTAAACTCAGTTTGGAACTGTAACTTTTCAATCAGTTTTTCAAGTTTCACAAATAAGTATTTTTATGTCCTGTCCCATCTCCTCTCCCCCCTACCCCTGGCAAAAAGCTGGAAAAAAGGCCTGATTTACAAAGCTGCTGAGTACTTATAGTCTCTGTCTATAAAAGAAACACTCAGCACCTACGAAAACCAGAACTGAGTTACTTACACTTGGCAAGTGCAATGGTTCCTGGTACTGAGACAGTTTACCAATGGATGGCAAGCCAAAAGATTTGTAGGGGTCCTGAAATAAAATTCAACATGAGAAAGCATTAAGCTTTTACAGATGAGGAGGAGATAATATTAAAAAGCTTGAAGTCTGACAGAAGCCACTGCTGGAATAACTGCTTTCTTCTCCAGAATTACTTGTGTTCAAGTACACTTCTTCATCCACCTACCTCTGCAACTCCAAATAAAGAAATGGAAGCATACAAATTCTCTTGCATCACATCCAAAAAGCAGGAAAGAAGTGTGCTGCACGCAGCTACTGTACACCACCAAAATATACAAAGGTGACATTTTCATTTGTTACACTGTGTCTTAGATGAAGGATGGTAAAGTATTCAGAAGAGTGGAGAAGAGCGTATAAAGAAAAAAATTTCAGAGAGAAAAGGGCAGTAAGAAATTTAATTATCTTAAGAAATCAAACTGACCTTTATGTCGTTGGAAATCTACATAATTTCATACCAACATAAATTTCATAGGACAGCAAATAAATATGTGGCCTACAGAATAACCTAATTCATGGCAAATTAGTTGGATCTATTACTTACTTATAAATGTGAGGGAATCTAAGTTGCACCAAATAAAAAAAGCATCAATTACTCCAGCATAAAGCCTACTCATACTCAGAATAGCTTCCATGCCAATCACAGGGCATATATTTATTCTTCATTAAAATAGTTCATATAACTTGTAATCTGTACAGCAACCTGAAGGTTATGTGTGTGTCACGAAGAGAAAGAAAAATCAACATAAAGATGTCCTGGGTCACAAAAGCTGCAGTAGTCAAGCGTGGGAAAAAACATGTCAAGGTGCTGAATTATTTTTTAAAAGCGGAGTTACCTAAAATGTTTCTAAAACAAAGTGAAGGAAGATAGGCATCATTTTTTAATTAACAAATCTTGATTTTCATGTATCAAAAATGACAGCAAAAAGACATTACACCTTGAAATGTCTTAAACATATGTGCAAATGGGTTTTATATTTTAGTAAGCTTTTTTTAAGGTGAGATAGTCATATCATAATTATTGACTTGGAATGCACTTTCAAAGTTTGTCATATAAACTTCATTTTCAAAAGACATGTAAATTGCTTTTTCAACAGCCTATTAAAACGTTTTAGAACAACAGCAGAAATTCTGTAAGCTACTGAATTTCAACTGTGTTTTTAAGTCAACAAGTTTCAAGTACACAAGTTAAGAAACCTGGAAACACTAGTTAACTGTAGCAAATAACTCCAGCACTGCAACATTAAATGTGAACAGAACATATAGCAAATGTCCTTAGAAATAAACCTCAGTTATCTCTTTCACCATTTTTAATTTTGATTTTTGGAAAAAAAGAGGTGTTGAAATATGTACTGTAGTTTTCATTAAAAAAAAAAGAAAATTCCACAATTCTAGAAAAGCTTATTCACCTTTTGTGTTACATACTCTAAATTGCAAATTTCATATGATACTCCTTGACTTCACCTCAGCATCTATCCACACCTGGGTACTATTACTCCACAATTCAACTACCTACCCTCCTCCCCATTACCACTCATTTACCTCAGCATAAACTCGACATTCAACCGCCCAACCGTTGATGGGAATATCAGCCTGTTTGTGTCTGAGAGGGTAACCCTTAGCAACACGGATCATTTCTTGGACTAAGTCCAGGCCGGTAATGCATTCTGTGACGGGATGTTCAACCTGCAAGGACAAGAACTGTCAGTCAGTAGGTAACAAAAACAACAACAACAACAACAATCCCTCTCTGTAAACAAACACTGATAAGCAAAACCAACCAAAGAACAGACAAAGAATGTGTTCCTTCTTGGTCTTTTTCCCAAAAAATTTCTAATTGACAAACTCCAGCAACCACCTTCTTTGAAGAGAAACCCCCAAAACCAAAATAATTAGCAGATTACAATAACTAAGAGCAGCATACAAAATGAAAACTATAGAGAAGAACTAGGAGGGTTTAGGGGCTTGTGGTTTGGTTTGGGGTTTTTTTTCCATTTATTTTACAAATTCAAATGCACCTGGTGGCGATGAGTTAATTTCTCTTTGTTCAGAAGCTTTTCCCATTCGATTTTGCTTTGAAGAAACTCACACTGTAGCCATAAATATGTTTTAACTTAAAATCTCAAAGTAGCTGATAATCAACCCATTCTGCTACACTTAACATGGCACATACAGGAGCCGCTTACAATTTTCCATAGAACTAGCCTACCCTAAATCTCACCCGTTCGCCTGCTTTCACTAACCTGTCCTGACAAGCAACCAGATTAGCGTAATCTTGCATCAGCGCAGTGTAGCAGAAATGAGCAGATGGATCCTTCAATTTTTTTCCCCCCTCCAGACTTATCTGTTTAGTGCTTAGCATGCACAATAGCTGGGCTGGACCAGCAGAGTCACTCTGCGCTCTCAGCAAATTGCTGCTAACGGCTTTGGGTGATGCTGCCATGGGAATACCCGTCGTTCACACTAACCCCTGCATGTGCGTACAGGCATGCACACATGTGCGCGCATATGCACGTGCACACACACTTTTTTTTCTTTGAAATGGGGATATAAACGGACGCGCTTGTTAACTTTAAAAAAAAATCTGCAACTAGGCACAGTACAGCAAAAAAGAACCCAAAGACAGGAGGGCATGCCATATACTTGAAGTAAAAGACAGGCACGCCAGAAGCATGTTCTTCACCCAGAGACAGCTGTAAGACTTTCCACAGAGAAATCATGACAGAACTGCCATTTTTATTATAAAATGTTTGTGCTCCAAGGGCCAAAATACCTTACGAAAACACACTTATCAATGGTTTCTCTATCATGAGATGCCATACCACGTACATTTTGTGACACAGGAAGAGGTCAGCAACCAAACTACTTGTCGTTCTTCCTTCAAGTACACTAGTATTAAGGAAAACATTTAGTTGCTATAATAATCTTGTGGCTTATCAGAACAAGAAGATGCTTTGGTCTTTAAGAAAAAAAGCTTTGTAAAAATAAACAGATGGCATCCATAATTAGCCCTGTGTGTGCTGTGAGTTTGTTTAGAGTTTCAACAACATTTTAAGACATTTTGACATAATTTTAATGACAAATCATCACTGAAACAAGCACCTATTCTTTGAAGGATAAAAGTGACATTGAAATGGGAATCTGATTATACAGTTTAAGGATGCACCTTTGGGATTCAATCTTGATTCTACCTAACACATGATAATCTCCAGAATGTCAAGCTTAATAATAGTATTTGGAGAATCTTAGTGTCTATCCTGCAACATTAAATTGAAGCAATTCAACTTCTATTAAGACTTTAAGTTTATATTAAAATTCCCCAAGTTTAAATAGAAAGTTACTTATCACACATTCACATTTGGACAACAGAACTTAGTCTCTTGTTTTGGAATTTAAGTTTTAAAAAATTATCTTTGCCTTTAGAACACATTTGGGATTCTAACATTCCAGATAATTAAAATACAGATTTCTTTTTTTTTTAAAAAAAAAAAGACATTTGCATTATTTAGTTATACTGTCATTTTTCTTGGATAGCAATTGGCATTCCAGATTGAATAGCTTCATTGTTTTCAGCTTTATTGTTGATGATCAAAATAGGATGGAATGTTTCTGGAAAGAAAAATATTTTTGTTGTTTGGTTCTTATGACTCACAAACATTTATTTAATCCATTCTTCAATACAGATCTTTGACTTGGTCAATATTTTCTTCTGTTTCTTCAAAATACTCCCTTTGTGTCTGCACACAAAACAGCATTCAGAAAACATGACAAGGAAAATTTTTTGAGGGTTTTTTTGGGTGGGGAGAAGTTGTTCTGCTTTCTTTTAGGACAGTGCTTCAAACTAGTGCTGTTTAGGCATAATGTTTACAGTAGCAAACATACCACTCATTTTGGGGTACCAAATACATTTAAAATGCATTTTAGATGACCAAAACTGGGTAGAAAAGAACTTTAACCTTGAAATCCTTGTTGACTCCTTTGTAAGTTTAACCTTTCAGTGAGCTGCACAGCTCAAACTGTACTTGTTTTAGCAGTCACAGTTTTCTTATGGCAAGGGGAGGGTCAGTATTTGTAGCATTATACAGAATATGCTTCAGCATACAGTACAAAAGGACACTAATAAAGCAGTAATGCCATATCCTGGTTCAACAAGCACCCTGTAATGAGGTTTTGGAGGATGCAAGAACTCACACAGGTGTATGCAAGATCTGAAGTTAAATCTCTAATCTTCTACAAAGCAAGGAAGGACGAGGGCAGAATTAAAGAAATTAGACCTCTCTTCTCCCTCCCCTCTCAAAAAAGAAAACACAGGCATCATCATTCCCGATGAAAGCTCTACAGGAACTGTTGCAGATATTTGACTAGAGTAATTGTATCCATTTCTAAATCCCTATTAAAAGCTAAGCTTTAAATACTTTCCTCTTTCACTTTTCAGCCTACTACACGTGTCACACATGTTTTGCCTGCCTGATGTATTTTCTTCTATTAATTTTATGCTATACTCTTACTCCATCAACAGTCTTTACTTGTCATTTTATGGACACTAAGTCAAGGACTACATTTTTAAAGAGATAAAAGTATGCTCACAAATGGAGCTGAATCATACCCAATTGATCAACTCCTTTAGCTTTGGGCCCTACTCATTTTTTAGTCAGTAGATCCAAGACCTTGCCAGCAAAGCCCCAGTCAATAAGGTAAGGGCCAGTGGTGGTATGGTTATATCATAGTGGGTAAATTCACACATTATCTCTGTCCTTAACACAAAGGGCAAAACCAGACATGTCTGCAGCAAGCAATCTACAGATCATAGCTATATCAAGGCTGCTGTACCTTATTCTCAAACAAGACAAGCATAAAAATTGATCAGCAGTAACTCAATTAGCTGCCAAAAGTCTCACCTGTACTCCCAGTTGCTTTACGTATATCAAGTCTGGTCATAAGCAATTTATAACAAGTCAGCATTTCAATGCACTTAAGTACAATACATACCTCCCCTTTAAAAAGTCTTACTTCCCACTTTCTGTGATCCACACACACTTCTTTCTCTGAAAAATGCCACTTATTTTCAAGTCCACAAAGCCATACCTGTTGTGGCCAACAATATCAATACAGGGTAAAGGGTGCTTCCCCCTCATCCTGGATCAGCTCCTCTTCAGACATGTCAGAGCAATCAGATTCCTTGTGAGCATTACAAGTGGTTTTGCTTCCCTAGCCTCTTCCAGTTTATACAGCAAGAGACACTAGTGGCAAAGCCTGTAAGAAAATAATAACTAAGTCCCAGTTTATAGATGGTGAAGCAGGTACAAAAAAGCTAGCGGACCCTGCCAACGTTGCAGTCCAGTTAGCCTCCATCCCCAGAACATTATGGAGAGGCTGCTAATTCTCCTCCTGTTCTGTGACTGCCAAGAGCCTTGAAGCTTTACCATACTGGGGTACATCTACAGCTACAAAAACAGTCATGTAGTTTTTATGAACAGTTGAAGCTGAGAGTTAAATTAGCAATGACTGCTCCCTTTATATTCAGGGAAATAATTTCAGGACACATTTTTCTCAAGACCATCAAGGTACTCAGATCTAATAGCACACACTTCTGGATACTCTCACAGATTGCTCTCTTGCCCCTGTGTGCATAAGGCATCGAGTTACTCACACACCAGTTGGAGCATTCAAGCAGACCACAGCAGCCAAGAAAATCTAAATTTCAGTAGACTTAAAACTACAGACTATGTCACCCCTACTACTGTAAGTCCCTAGTTGGTGTCATTTACTCTTTTACATTCAGAAAAATAATCTCAAAACTAACTTTCAACATACACCTCAGTTTCCAGGAAACATGATTCACCTGGAGTCCCACAGGCTTTTCTGCTGCAGCCAAATCCAGTATCAATTGACCCAAACCCACCAACTTACAGATGCTCCTCAACCCCCTCTATTTCAGTAAGCCTGGTTTCTATTTCGGAGCACTGAACAGCAACAGAGGTGCACACGCGTTCTGTTCTTCAGGCATGACAGCTTCCTGACTACTATGAGCAGGAACACTCTGGGGTCACATCATCTCTCTGCAAAACAGTTTACATGTATGTATACGAGGTTTGGGAGCAGAAAGGCTGCTGAAGAACAGACAATGTTTGGATTAATATATGGAATGAATGGAAAGCACACAGGAACACATAATGGGCAACAGCCCATACTGTCCTTCTCTATAGACATAGTATATAATAACAGTTGTTGTTTATTTTCTGATTTATTTGTATTTATTCTGATTGAAGAACTATGTGCAACCAGAATTACAAAAATTTCCATCAACTAAGATGCTCAGGTAGCCTTCTTTTGTTGTTTCCCAAGAAAGATGTGGCAGAAATATAAACTAGTGCACAGATATTTGGTACCAACTGATTTTTTAATCATAGCATATAACAACCTTGAAAAAATACTTAATCTACTTTCTCATAGGAAGTTATCTTCCAACAGTCATTGACAGAGTTTTCTCAATTTTTCCTTTTAAGGATTTGTTTGTTTATTTTTCTGGACAGACATGGGTAAGAAACCACTTATGTAACCTATAAATACTGAATCGGTCTTTTCTACATTTTAAACAAACAGCACAGGCTTTATATCAACAAGTTATTTAGCTCACAATTTTAATACAAGTTCCTCAATTAACATCCTGCACTTCAAAAAAAAAT